TAAGTTGTTTGTCTGTTCTTGATTTAATTTTGGTAAGTTATAGTTATCCAGAAATTTGTCCATTTTCTTTGAATTTTCAATTTATGTGGAATACAGATTTTCAAAGTATGACCTGAAAATTGTCTGGATTTCCTCTGTGTCCGTTGTTATGTTCCCTTTTCGTTTCTGATTTTGTTAATTTGCATGTTCTCTCTCTGCTTTTTCGTTAATTTGGATAAAGGTTTGTCTATCTTGTTGATTTTCTCAAAAAACCAACTCCTCGTTGCATTGATTTTTTGTATTGTTTTCCTGGTTTCTGTTTTGATGATTTCAGCCCTCAAGTTGATTATTTCCTGGCATCTACTCCTATGGGGTAAGTTCGTTAAAGTCTGGAGACTGTAGAGGCATTGGTTTAAGAAACTCACATTCAACCCTTTTGTCGCTTTCCTAGTTGCAATTAGAAACTAGTGCTGAAGTCAGGATAGCCTACTTCATGACACTAGAAGTACAGCCCTTGCTGTGGTAGTCACTTGCTACTGCCTGAATTAAGACTTTCTTTTAATGACGTAAAGCACATATCGTTGCTTTAGATCAACAATTGTTTATCTTAGTATGATGCTGACATCACTGTTCATATAAATTAATAGGACTCTGAAATACTGCAGGAATATCACGTGTAAACAATACAAAATATATATTTATTAATGGATACCTAAAACAAAACAAACTCTAGTCAATTCTACTTTATCTTTTTTTTTCTTTTTGTGACAACACCCTTTGATCTAAGATCAAAAACTCACTAGAAATTTGGTATAGTTGATATCAAGAAAGAACTGTTGGGTGTTGGTGGTATACGCCTTTAATCCCAACACTTGGGAGGCAGAGGCAGGTGAATCTCTGTGAGTTTGATGCCAGCCTGGTCTACAGAGCAAGTTTCAGGGCAGGTCCCAAAGCTACACAAAGAAACCCTGTCTCAAAAAAAATAAAAAATAAAAAGGAAATAAAGAACTGACAGATATTATAATTGTCACTGAAACTTGAACATAGTCTCTTAGCTTGTCACAAATGCTCTTTGCTCACTGTTCCTTGAAATTATTACTTCACATTACATTATAAAATATGCCATGTAACTAAAAACTGACACAAGGTACCATATGATTAAAGGATTATATCTTCACTGTTGAAGTTGTGGAATTTCATCTGATCTGCAGAGTGCAGAAACAATGTTAACAACTGCAACTTTCACTCTTGCAGATAGATGTGTCTGACTTGAGAGAGACGGCACAGACCATACAGAAGACGCTTCAGTGAAGTTCTTCACTGCTCCTTACTGGTTAAACTGTTTAAGAACCAACCTTCTGCAAACCTTCCCGAAGCTTGAGAGCCTCAATGCACCATGTCCTAGTGTTGCTATGGTTTTAGTTAAGATGCGCAGATCATTTCAGTGAATGAATATCTTTGGCGATATTTTTTTAATGGTTCATGAATTGTAACATGTCCCCAAGAACTACTTTTTCAAATAGTTGTCAAGTGTTGTGCATTATCTTGCCATTAATGTTTTGACAATTCAGTTACCCCATGTGCTTTCTAGAAACCTAGGGTTTAAAGATCTGAAGATGTAAAGAAAGGAATGCACATACAGAATACAAAATGGTTTATAGAAAGCTTTTCAATTTTTCTGAAATGTGTCAAATGGCTGAAACTTTCCAATCCAGGCTTAGAGAAAAGTTAGTAAATGATTGTGTAAGTTTTGTAGAAGGCTGTAGCAAAGGAATTACATTCTGCGAAAGCTGAGCAAAAGTATTGTCTAGAAACAAATATCTAAAAGTTAATATAAGGAAAGCTATGTGTAATGTTCTACAGAACTCTGAATTTGAAAGATTTATTTTAAAGACATTTCTGTCTCTCTAATTTATTTTTCCAAGCATTGGGGCATTCTGTATAAATGTTTTCTCTGTTAGAAGCTTTTGTTTTTGTTTTTGCTTTGTTTTTTCCTTTTTTTTTTCTCTCCATTAGATTTTTATAAGCTACCAATGCAACCACAAGTTGCTCTGTACCTTGATAAAAGATATTAAAATAAGCATTAGGCTAACACTTCTATTAAAGTGTGAATTTAAGCTGTAAAAATTGACTTCCTTCAAAAAGGATATGAGAGCAAGGAATGCAGATCAATAGCAGAATGCCAGCCTAGCACGAAAGAGACAAATTTTCTGTCTAATGGAATGGTGGCTCATGCCTGTAAACCCAGCACTTGGAAAAAAGAACAGGAAGATCAGAAACTCAAGGCCACCCTCAGCTAAGCAGAAAGTTTGAGACCAGGCTAGGCAACATGAGACTCTTTCAAAAGGAGAAAGAAACAATGGAAGAGAGGAAGAGAGGAAGGAAGGGTGGGATGGATGAAGGAAAGGAGAAAAGGAGGGAGGAAAGGAGGGAGGGAGAGAGAAATCACATCTAACTTAAAGTAAGAGATCACAAAATATTAATCTATTCTTTATTCTGTGTAGTGAGTGCACTTGTCTTAATACAAACTTCAATGAAAAAAGAAAAACATCCTCTCAACTTAAAGCTACTTTAATTCATAATCTTAGTTTTTAATCACTATGTTGCAAAGAATAGAAATATAAACAGCAATAAAATAGTTGAAATGGAGCCTTCTTATGTTATGTTAGTAATATGATGTCATATCTCATTTGTCTTTTAACTTTGTCTATCAGTAAATTCAACTATTTTTCCCTGGGAAGATAACAATTTAAAAGGTCATGATTTAAAGTTAAATATATATTGAATTTTTCTCCTTATTTCTAAACAAAAATACACAGGGCAAGCGAATATAAATTTCTGAGGTCTAGTGTCAATTATGTAACCAATTTTGCATGTGAGGATGTAATTCCAAGCTACAATGCCTTCAGATTTACAGTACACAAAATTTATCAAATTGCACCTTTAATCTCCATATCATTTGGGGAATCAAATTTCTTAAATTAAAAACTGAACATGAATCTTCTAAAAAAAAAAAAAAAAAACAGCAATGGCATTGTGCATGATGTGTAAGCTTCAGTGTGCTGGACTGTTATCCAGCTTTTCCAAAGTAAATTAATTTTTGATGAAAAAAGCTGAAGTCTTAATCCTTACAATAGCCTTCTGTATGTGCTCACAAATCTTGTAAGTCCACAGGAGCATTCTTGTTGCCTCATATTTATTCCTGTGTTTTTTATGCTCATGAAGATGTACATACACAGTACTACAAGCACAGTGCTTAAGGTGGTCACTTTAATTTTCTTCTTTTCTTTTTCCTTTATTGTGTGATCGGTTTTTAAAGCAACCTGTCATCTATATTTTCAGATTTGAGATTTTAGATTTTAGGAAGACAGCACTATTTGTAGGAAATCTTCTACCTAAATACTTGGTTAACAAACATTGAAACTTGTTCTCTAGAAGGAAGCCAAGCTCATTCCAGGATAGCTGCAGGTAGAATGAGAGCCTTGTGGTCAGATGGACATCACTGTGTACCATAGCTTGTCCTTGGTGACTGAGGAAGAGAAGTGGCATTCTCTGTGGTTCCAGAGAGGGAAGTCTTATTTCAAAGGCTTGAAGCATGTGCTGATCTTGTTCTAATTTCCATCCATCAGGAGAGAGGTTTTACTTTTATATTTGTTTATTTGTTTCTTTAGAATAAAATACCTGCCTGTTGTCTTTGCCTAGTGGTCTGTAACCCACCTGCCTGACCACACTCACTTTCATGGGCTTTGCTCACTGACCACAAGCACGCTGACTCCTTTCCTCTTTCAAGGATGTCAAGTCCTTCCTACTTTGGCCTTTCCAAGTGCTAGTTCCCTGTTTCTCCAGCACCTTGAGGGATTTGTCCTTTTCTTCAATCCCCTTGCATGCCCTTCCCAGCTTTGAAGGTCAGCCCAAATGTCACCTTTTCAAAAGGACCTCGGAGATCTGGCTAAACATTCAGCTGAGTTTCTTCATCCTACCCCTAATCACTATACTTTCCTGTTATCCTCTTAAAAGACCTCACTTGGGGCTCTGTATATTAGGTGTTACCACACTAGGCTTTAAGTTATCTTTATTATTCAGGTATCCTCAGCCTTATCACAGAGCTTTGTTCTCTTTTATTAAATGCTAGTTTAATAAATACTATCATCCTCCTTTATGAAATACTTTTGTCATTAAACACCACATAGCAGTACACAGATAAAAATGCATTTCTCAATTTTATAAAGAAAAAGGAACTTATGTAGGCCACATAATAGGGCAGTCACCAATATTCCTTAGTTCAAAGTATCAGAGTGATTGTCAGGCAAAATTAAGGCTAAACTCTAAAGTCAGAATTAACTAAACAGGCTTGTTCAGATATAAGAAAAACCAATGTAGCCATGGGAAATTAAAACCTAACAAGGAAAAGCAAATGCATTCTGGGAAGGTTTGTTTCAGGGCCTGTTCTAGACATGCAGAGAGTGTCAGTGTGTTTCAGATGCTCCGAGGAAAGCAAATATGAGAAATTAGAACCCCCAAGCAAGTTTTTTCATGAACATTTTCTTCACATTCTATTTCTGAGAAATCTAGTATTACTTTCTTCTGTGATGTATCTCTTTTTCACAGTAGTGTAGTCATCCCTAGTATGCTCAATGGCAACTGTCCCAATGAAGCCAAAAGAAACACAATCATTAAAATAAGAAAGAGGCATGGTGCATATTTTCTACACGAATTGAGACAATATAATTTATTTTAACTTCTACATGCTTTTCAAAATATTTTTGTTGATAGCCAACAACAAAGCATTGACACACAGAGAGAGTGGACTTATAGGAAGCATACAATAAATCAAACACTTTCTAAAGCCATGTTGATGGTCAGATCCACTCAGTGGTGCAGTCAGTGTCACTCTTGACCACATGAGCATTAAGCAAACCATTACACAGGCAGGAGCAGGTAAGAAAGCGAGGAAAATGATGTGCAGAAGAGGAGCCAGGTTCTTAACACTTCAAACAAAGGCAAACTTGAAGCAAGAGACTATTAATCTTTCTAAGTGTTCTTTTCTTTTATATATCCAGAGAAGACTCAGACACAGTATTTCCAAAAGCAAGCTAAAAAGGCAAACAAAGTGAATTATTAGAATGATTTTTTAATCTTCCATTTGAATAAAATATTCTATGTGCTCAAAAAAGAGGCGGAGACCATTTAAAAATATATATTCAATATGCTAGTCACTAGCTTTATGTGGGCCTAAAATTAAATAAATTAATAATTCAGGTTGCTCATTATATTAGCCACATGTCACATTCACAATACCACCTAGAGGTTAATGACTATCAGAATGAGTAGAATAAATTAGGGAATTGTCCCACTATTCCAGTTCTATGGGTCACCATTCCTCTGCATTACAATGCACATAATACAATCCAAGGACCACGGGTGCTGATCTAGGACACACACACTTCCACTTCACATTTTGTGCAACTAAAATGCTAAAGCAGAAGACACTTACGTACAAGGTGGGGCTAACTGACCCTCTGCTCATTAAGGGAAGAAGGGGGGGTGCTTAAGGGTCACTCTGTAACCCAGCAAATGATATTTAGTTAAATTATGCTTCATCACATTGAGCCTTACTATTGTGATCACATTACACTACTTCAGACAAATAACAGAAACAAATTCAGCAGCATTTCGATCTTGGAATGCATCAATGAATCATTTTAAATCTCCAGTAGGTAGAGCAGTAGTTGTCCTTCTGGGAAAAAAAAATTGCATTCAGCCCCTAGCAGGAGTCTATTCTCAGAACTGAGCTGAGAATGTGGGCCTTTAATCCAGTCTTCCTTTAAATAGTGTGTTATGGAAAGTCATCATCATTGTGCAGCTTGTTCCTTCAGATATCTTTGGATATCTGTCTTCTGTCTGGCACAAAAATAAAAGCTGACGTGGAGCCAAGGTTTAAATCACATAGCAGCACAGTTAAGTTTGCAATGGAACATAGTGTGGAGAAATATTTTGGGCATGATTGAAATGGACTAACATGCTGCTAATAGAATCAATTCTCCCATGCATACTAGTCATCTCTCAGTTTCATAAAGTTAAATTCTAGCCAGCTTAACTGCTGCCGACCCTTGATGTCTGTCTAATTCACACTAGGCTTGGAGAAGCTATCTAATGACTATATATTAAATTTGTATGGAAAACTATTTCAGTAAATGAAAATTCCTACTGCCTTAGGCTGGATCTGGGGGTCCATTTCGCCTTCATACATGGCTATTCATGGCAAATAATTTTAAGATGTGCCAATAGTGATGACTTCATAAAGAATGTGTATTTTTTCATGACCTAACCAGGCCATCTAGTCCATAGAGTCATCATCACAACACCTTCTTGTCTGTTACTACACAGGAGCATGCTTCCATATCTCTCTGCTTAAAAACAAAACAACAACAGCAGGAAAACTTCCTTGATGCTTACATCATTCTAGTTAATGTCAAGGGCTCCAACAGAAATGTTTTATTCAAAAGAGCTCTCTATACAGGCAGAATACTACAGATGACGCCCAGCTGGCATAGTCTAATTGGCAAGCTCACAGCCCAGAGAGGGACATTGTCTCACAAAATAAAGTTGATAATGTCTGAGAAATGACAACTGAATCTGTCCTTTGCCCTCTATACAAATTGATACTTGTATTTGCATGAGCTTGCATTCATATATACACACATGAACACATAGACACATATAAGACATGTCTGTTGTCTGTGGTTCCAATTGTTCAATCATACCCCTTTTAAAAAAAAGTTAAGGATCTTTGCTCCTGGACTCACTGGTGGGTATCAGTTCTCATCTTACTGGAGCTATAATAGAACAGATGCACTTAAGTTTCTTGAAACATGTTGGTACGTGGCTTCTATGAATTGTGTTCTGTAATGCTCTTTTCCTTAGTATCTGCTTCTACCCAACCCTTTTTATTGATTATCATTTTCACAACATCTGCTCTTTAACTGACCTGATATTCAGTCCTTAAGTAGCTTCCCTCTATATGTAGTATCACTCCATGAATAGTCTCATCAAACGCCAGATGTGAATTTGTTGATCAATGTCAAATATATACACTCCATCTGAGCTGCTTTCCTAAATTTCAAAGTCATTTGTTCACTGAAGTCATGACCAGAACAACTTTGCTGCTATCCAGGATGTAATAAGGTCAAAATACTAGTTCTCCAATTATTCCTTGTATTCTTGATATTCTCAACTGGACCCAGCCTCATTCCAATAGGATCAAGATCACTCGATAAGTTATAGAAGGGAAAGGCATGTTGCACTCCTTTTACCCTTTCCTACCTTGCTGTAAGGACACTGGACAGTGTGTCCCACGTAATGCACTGACAAAACTAACTGCCTGGGTCCCAGACACTGCCAACAGAGATGCTTTTCCAAATTTTTTAATGTTGGAGTAAGTTTCAATTTACTGATTTAAATCAGTACAGAGAAACCACAGATGTCCCTTAGCAAATTTCTCATCATATCCCAGTCAGGATAGGAATCATCCAGGAAACAAAGACAGCAACCAGAAAGTGTTGATGCAAAACAAGGGAGAGGGATTTGTATTCGTGGCTTGTAGGAGTGTAAATTAGTCTACCTCTTATGGAAATCACTACAGAGCCTCCTCAAAAGTTAACAGTGTTGGCTTATAGAAATGGCTGAGTGATTGAGAGTACTGCTCTAAAAGAAGACCTGTGCCTCCATTGGGCAGGTTACCACTTGTACATTCAGATCTTAGGCATTTGATGCCATCTCCTAAACTGTAAATATCAGCAGTACCATGCACTTATATAAACTCATACACACAATTTAAAATGTTGAAATAGAACTGTCATGTGATACAAGTATACCATATTTAAGTATACAACCAAAAGAATCAAAATGAGTAAAGATGCCTGTACACGTCTATCACTGCAATAATCCCAATAGACAAATTATGAAATTGCTGAAGTCATCAGTACATGGACACGCACCACACAAACACACACACTCACATTTGGATGGAGGTGAGAAGGGAAGGAGGGGGCAGAGAGAGAATTTTACTTAGCCAAAATGAGGAAATTCTATCCTTTCCACTTAAATGAATAAAATTTGATCATTATTTTAGCTGAAATAAGCAGATTTTAAAATGGCATTAAGTAACATCTGGGATAAAGAGTTCATGGGGAAAATCAAACTATCAATATTAAATTTAAGAAATATTTCAGCTGCTTTCAAGGACGTTGATATAAGTCATAGAAGGGAATGCAAAATAAGATATTATGCAAAAAAATCGTTGATAAGCTTTCTTGATTTCTTTTCTTTTTCTTTCTTTCTTAAAACAAAAATAAAACAAACAAATAAAACATCATACAAAGGAAACCTTGATTCTTGAAATGAAAACTGTATCTGATGGTTTAAGACAAAATAAAACTTGTACCTCCAGCTGTAAGAGTTTGAAGAGACCTTAGAAAGCTTTACATGAAAGTATTTCCTTAAGTAAGAGATATGTCCTAAAAAAAAAAAAAAAACTCTCAGGAAGGGTGGAAGAAGAGTAAGGATTCAATAGACAGAGAAATCCTAGAAACTAGCAAGTGCTAAGAAAACGTGCTCTCCATTCTCAGAATAAGAAATGCCCTTATTATCAGGCCATCAAATTTTCAGAACAACTGAGGATATCACTCCAGGAGTCTCTGCCTCCCATTTTCCTTCATAGAGATATGTGACTGCATCTATCCTTTCCCTGTTCCTCTAGAAATTATTGGGTTTATGTGAAGTGAATAAGTTCTCTTTCTAGTTCAATGTTTAAAATAATATAAAGGAAGATTTGCTACAGTGCTCCTGATCGAATATGCCCTGGATATCCAATCACTTACATTTTAGGGGTCATACAATCCTCTCAGAAATGGGATGAGTGCAGTATATATTTTCAATAAAGATCAAATGATCTAGTAAAGTGATCACCAGGTAGTATGGAGACTTCCTGCTTTTCACCATCTTGACTTGTCAGTATGTTGGTGGCAGCCTGTGACTAACCCTGACAGCAGGCGTAGCAAGTATATCTTTGGAACTGAGGCAGTTCATTACCTGAATGTCCCTTCTAGGCTCCTACTCTGCCAAGAACACCCCGGAAGCAGTTCAGAGTTCTAGGTGATAAAGTAAAGATACGGAGCTATATGTGTTACATATAGCTATGTTAAGCTCTGAGACTCAGATTAACAATAGATGCACAGCACAGTCTAAACTGAACAAATGGAAAGTGCAAACAATTCTATTATTACTCTTCTTAAATATTCCCCCTGTTCCAACTATCTCCTCCTAACCTTTCACTGAGTTGATAAATCAAAATTAGCCCCTTGTTTCCTTTCGTGCTTTCTCAGAGTGACCGCTGTAGAGTCATTTTAATATCTTTGTTGACATACTGCTCAATACATACCCATTGTTAAATCCTTTGTAATTTGCTTTTGCCCATCTCCTACTAGCAACCACCATTGAGGGAGCTTCAATGCTGCTGCTTCCCACTCTGCTCCTCTTTTGAAGTGTGTGTGTATCATATGGCATCAAAAATGCTTCTGGTTGGGAGGCCTGGGAAGTCTATGGGGCCTCTGACAATGGAACCAGGGTGTATCCCTAGTGCAGGAACAGACTTCAGGAGCCCAATTCCCCATGGAGGGATACTCCATTAGCCTAGAGACATGGGGGAGGTCCTAGGCCCTATCCCAAATGATTTGGCTGACTTTGATGATCCCTCATAGAAGGCTTCACTCTCCCTGGAGAGTGTATGGGGGATGGGATGGAGGGGTCTGCGAGGAGGTGGGTATGGGAAGGTGGGAGAGAGAGGGAACTGGGCTTCATATGTAAAATAAAAAATATTAAATAAAAAAAATTAAAAAATTTTTCACACACACACACAAATGTTTCTGGTCAAATTCCCTTTTAGTTAATCACTGATTTTCTTAGAATCATCCAGTTTTCTGTGATGCAAAGTAGAAATTAACAGTCCTTAATAAAGCTATAAATTTCCCTGCCCCCATCCTTTATCTACCTTATATCATACTATTTTCTCCTTTACACTCATTACCAGTTGGTTTATTTTGAGGCATGTAATCTAATCTTTATAAAATACAGTTTTCTCATATACAGAATCGACATAGCAATTATAAAGAATAAAATAATAATCATGGAACAATTACTGGAATACATTTTAACTTAAGCTCACAGAATACTTACTATAGACCATGTAGATTTCTAAAATAAGTAAAATAAATTAGTCCTAACAATTTATGAAAATTATTTAATACATATATGGGCAAAAATCCAATTCATAAGAAATTAATTGCCTGAGATCACACAGATGCAAATTATCAAAGTTAAGATTTGAACTCAAGCCATCTGGCTCTATTGTATTTTGAAATGTCACACTATAAAAAGGCTGGTATGTTTTAAGTAGTGAATACTATCTAATCTCTGTCTCGGTAGTATTGCAATAACAAGCTTTTACAAAAGTAAAAGACAAATTGAGATGTTGATAAGAGAAGTCAAATACACCTTAAGAAATTCATATCACTAAGGAACTGGAGAAACAATGTGGGAATTTTACTCTTTTGAAAATAAGAACCAAAAAAATCCTAGAAAAGCTATGGAAAGCTAGTGAGTCAAAATTTTCCTAAGATTAACTGTGTCCACTGGGCAGTGGTGGTGCATGCCTTTAATCCCAGCACTTGGGAGGCAGAGGTAGGCAGATCTCTATGAATTCAAAGCCAGCCTGGTTAACAAGAGTTCCAGGACAGCCAGGACCCTTGCACAGAAAAACTTTGTCTTGAAAAACAAAACAAAATTAACTGTCTGTATCAAAATGTGTTTATAACAAATATTGTAGCAATAGAGTGCCTATCTATGTAAACAAAAAAGTTAAATTGTTTTAAAACTTGGTTATTTCTACTTTCATCCTCCTGGCTTCAAACAGGAACAGGAGATGAGAATTTTAAACCTAAAATGTGTGACCTAGTTACCTGCTTTTGCCGCCATCAGAGGCTCTAGTACAATCATTAGACTCTTTTCTTAAAAATATGATCTGTATTTCAATCAGAGGATGGAAAATGTCAATATTACTTTTTTAAAATAGAGATATTTACCAAAAGGATCATTTGGAAGTCAATTTTACAACTAAAATAAAAGATTACCTCGTTTATTAGGATGGGGAGAGGATAGATTGTCATCTATGAAGTCTAGGGCATTGGATACTTCTGCATTCTTTGCCTCCATAAACTCTTCGTTCAGCTTCTTTAGCTGTGAGAAAGGAAAGAAAAGGAAGACAAGAAGTAAAAAAGAAAGAAGAAAAATTTAGAAAAAACAAGAAAAGAAAAAAAGAGATTAGAAAACACTTTAAAAAATAAATACATGAAGGCCTAAAAGACTGGCATTCAGAAGTTGTCTGGAATAAGTATGAGAGTTAATCAGAGATCAGAAAGAAACACACTGGGGCCATTTGAATAAGAATGCCCTCATAGGCTCCTATATTGGAATGTTTAGGAAGGGTTGGAAGGCGTGGCCTTATTGGAGGAGGTTGTCCCTGGGTATGGACTTTGAGGTTTCAAAAGCCCAGGTCAAGCCCAGTATAGTCTCTCTCTCTCCCTCCCTCCCTCCCTCCACCCTCTACCCTCCCCCTCCCTCTCTCTCTCTCCCTGCTCTTTATGGATCAGATGTGAACTCTCAGCTCCTGCCTGAGTACCAAGCCCGCCAGCCCACCTGCCTGCTACCATGCTCCCTGATATGATGTTCATGGACTCATACTGGTAAGCTGTGAGCAAGTCCCCAATTAAATGCTTCCTTTTATAAGTTGATTTAGTCATGCTATCTCTTTAAGCAATAGAACTGTAACTAACACACATGTTATTTATATATCAAGTTAGCTTGTGTGCAGCCTAGGCAGCTAGATTTAACTTGATGTTCCTCATATAATCAGCCCTAACCCAAAATCTCCAGAGAATTATGTGATAGTTTAGGCTTCCAGGAGTCTTTTCCTGTCTTGAAGAAAAAGACATATTTCAGGCCAGATAGTTTTCATCCAGCATTCAGCCCAACCTTAGTATTTAACAAGCTCTCCAAACACCTAGCCACTACAAACCCACTGTATCAATTCAGGGTTGGCCTGCATATTGCATGTGCCCAGGTTCTTGCAGGTCAGGAGGGTATGATGGGCCTAATTCTGTTTCCAAATGGCCAACCTGTTTGTATAATGATGGAACAGCACCAATTTTTATTTGAAGGAGTTTATATTATAAATTGTATAACTCATCTGTTTAAACACTCTCTATGAGACATTAAGTAGCAAAAATGAAGCTGATAGAGATGAGGCTTCTTCTCAAGAGGGCAGAACTTTGGTCTACAAACCAGCTGCACATGTTTCCTCTTCTGTTTCTTACATGGTTAAATTTCTGAAACCACATAACTTCTTCCAATAGGAAATAAAAGTCCATTATTTAAAAATTGTAACTTCAGAAAGTATCTACTTATATCCTCTGATTTTACAGATGACAAGTTCAGAGAATTTTAACTATCCCAGTGTCTCATGGTTAGATCATTGGTGTCATCACAATTGATGTAGTGTGTGTGTGTGTGTGTGTGTGTGTGTGTGTAGTTTTGTGTGTGTGTAGTTGTGTGTGTGTGTAGTATATAGTGTGTGTAATATGTAGTGTGTGTGTGTGTAGTATGTAGTGTGTGTGTGTGTAGTATGTAGTGTGTGTATGTATGCGGTTTTGTGTCACTATGATTTGATGTCTGTTTCTCAGAGAATTACTTTATTCTTTCTCTAGTACAAGTATAAGCTAATACTGTAGTATTAATACTTCTTTAAAAAATGTGTCAAAAGTGCATCTAATAACAGTTCTCAAAATTGAGCATTGAACTCTTTTGTACTCTTACCTGTCTAAGGTGTTCCCGCTTGCTTGGCAGATCTACAGCTGGAAGAGACATTGTCAAGTGAAAAACATATCATGGGCAGCATTTAATTCACTTTGGGATATGCATTTATGCTCTTAGTGGAAGGCAAATATCTTTTTCATATGACTTGAGGCTGCCCTCCCATTCCTAATGCAAAACACTAAGTATATTTCTAATACTGAGCTACAATAACTTTTAACATGAAAAAGCTCTTGTGTCTATCTGTAAGCACAAAGTTGTTTTGTTTTTGTTTTCTTTTGTTATACTATAGATCTTGGTCGTTATTATCTTTTTTAAATTAAATTTTATTTGAGTTAAAAACAATCTTATTTTATATACCAATCTCAATTCCCTCTCCTTCTGTCCTCATACTTCCCCTATCCCCCATCCCACCCTCCCATCTACTCCTCAGGGAAGGTGAGGCCTCCCATGGGAGATCATCAAAGTTTGTCACATCATTTGGGGCAGGACCTAGGCTCTCCCCATGTACCTAGGCTGGGAGAGCATCCCTCCATGGGGAATGCATGCCCAAAGCCCATTTGTCCACTAGGGATAAATACTGGTTACATTGCCAGAGGCCCCATAGACTTCCCAGCCCCCCCCCAACAGACACCCACATTCAGTGGGCCTGGTTTGGTCTTATTCTGGTTTCCCGGCTGTCACACTGGGGTCTGTGAGCTCCCACTTGCTCAGGTCAGCTGTTTCTGTGGGTTTCCCCAGGATGGTCTTGACCCATTTGTTTATAACTCCTCCCTCTCTACAACTGGATTCCAGGAGTTCAGCTCAGTGCTTAGCTGTGGATCTCTGCTTCTGCTGTCATCATCTACTGGATGAAGGCTCTATGATAGCATTTAAGTTAATCAACAATTTCATTATAGGGAAAGGGTATTTTAGGTAGCCTCTCCAGTACTGATTAGATTCTTAGTTGGGGTCATCCTTGTGGATCCCTGGAGATTGCCCCAGTGCCAGATTTCTTGTTGAGCCCATAACAGCTCCCTCCATTAAGGTATCTCTTTCCTTGTTATCCTTCTCTGTTCTTCCCCCAACTTGACCTTGTTGGTCCTCCATGCTCTTCTCTGACCTCTGGATCTCTTCTGCTTTTTCTCCTACCTCTACCCCCCCCCCAGTGCTCTCAAATTACTCAGGGTCTTGTCTCTTTCCCCGTCTTCTTGAGTCCATGTATGTCTCTCTTAGAATCCTCTTTGTTTCCTAGCTTCTCTGGGTTGAAGTACAAAGTTTTTTTTTAAAGTATTCATGAGGTATTATTCATAAAAATAATACAATATTTTACTAACAGGGAAATTCTCGTAAAGCAATATAAAATGGAGAAAGAGACTGAGCAATAATTTTCCATAAAATCAAAAGCAAGAAGAAATTTTAAGAAACAATTACAAACCTCCAAGTTTTATTTCTTGGATATGAAGATTTTTCCATTTTATAATTTAACTAATTTCTAATTTTAAAATGTGTTTAATTATATAATGTTTGTACAATCCTGATTTTTAAAAGTATGAATTATTGAGGGTTTTTTTATTGTTTGTTTTATAGTGCTTTAAGAACATCAAGCCCTTGAACTCAAGCATGCTAAGCACAAGATCTTCCTTCCAGTGAGACACATCCCCACTCCTAATGTATTTTTAAACTAATACTGTACTCAACAAGTATAAATACCTTTAAGAATGTGCCAGATGATGTCTGAGAGGGAATCCTGCTGTCAATTACCACACTTTCTCTTGAGGTACCCTCGCTACATTTCTGACAGAATCTTGACAATTTATGAAAACATACCCTCTTAATTAGAGGACTGTTGTGTCGCAATCGATACACCCTAGACTTCCAACTTGTACTCTCCCTTTCATAAAGTAGAGGAACACAACACAACACTGCAGGTGGGTGGTGAAATTTCCAGTGAAGACTATCAACATAGTACTCTTAAAAAGCTTGATATAGAAAATACTAACTAGTTGTGCTAGGGAGAGTCACAAATGTGAGGGTAAGATGAGTTATGATAAGTGTTCCTCACCTCCGCAGTTACCAACCCATTAGAATTCTCACATGGGATAAATGTGCTTTTAATATTTTAAGTAACTGTGACTTTTATGATTTAAGGCTTCTGTACAACATAGAAGGGCTAGGTGAAGTCATGATTCTGGGAGGAGAACTTATATACTCTCACATTACTAACCTGGAATAATCACTAACTACATTCTAAATATTTGTCCTTGTACCAAAAGATAAGTGTAGTCCTCACTCCTCAACAAGGAAACTTCTATTTGCAACAGGGTGGAGACCACTACAGAAAAACCACAACCAATCAAAATACAGAGATGAGGAGCCCAATCCCAACTGATATTCCTATAAAACACTCCCACACCTAAGATGTAAGAACTGTGAAGCAGAGGCAGAAAGGTTCTAAGACCCAGAGGATCATCAGAGAGTTTGCTGTGAGACCACAGTGATTCTGCATTCTCAATAATATTTTTTCATTTATTTTACATACCAACCAGATTCTGCTGCTTTTAACAGACATGCTAGGCCTTGTCCTTGACTCACCAGCGTGGGAGGGCCTCTGGAAATTGGGGTTGCTTCTCAACAGAGCCAGGAGGAGTGTCTCATGAACTGTGTGCTCATTAGCTGGAAACAGCTCATGTCCTGTAATAATGAAATGTCAACATGTTTAATGAGTCACTGAATGTGTTTCTGGGTCACTGGGATTTGCAGTCAGTTCTTACGTGTATATTCACCAATGTTAGACAAATAGGGCATTCTATGATCCAAAAGACAGGCCATTCTAAAGCCAGTGGATGTATTTGAACATCCTGCCGGACAGCAAGACAGATATACCTCAAAGGTGGTAGGATTGCAGGAGAACTTTTCTGGGTTTTTTTTTTTTTTTCAACCATCTGCAATTGCTTTGAACACATGAAGTAAAACCTTAATGTTGAATTTGAAAGAAAGGCATAACATTTCATCCTTTGATTTTATTTGATGTGTTAAATTTAAATATGAGGCAATCTGGGTTCTAGGGTTCACGTTAAAGAACTTGAGGAAGAGCTAGTGTCAACTTCTTCTATACAGTTTCTTTCCACTGCCCTTGGTTTACCCCACAGGTGTTTGGGGCTTAGGTCTTCACATGCCTCAGATTATATATGTTTATATTCTGGAGTATAAATTGGAGCAACAGGCTTCATTCAATCTGCAAAGTATGAGTATTCAAAAGCAATGAACTTAAATGAAGGCCTTAAAAAAAAAGTTGTTTCTTACCTCATATACAGTTCATTCTCCCTCCCCAGCTCCTCACTCTCACTGTTACTGTGTGGGCAGGGAGTGGATTAATGAGGGTTAGCTACAGTAGGTGTGTGAACTGAGCTGACCTCAATTGTCCAAAGTGAAGTTGGTGTTACAATTTCAGTCAAGGAAATGTCTCAGAACCTGACCACAGAGTGAGAGAAATAAGTATTCTATGTGATACAAATTGTAAACACATTGTAAGATTTAAATAAAGAAGTCATGAAGTGTTGCCACTTTAGAATATGGTATTTTGGGGCAAACTGAATCCTGGGCCATGGTCCCTCACATGTAGCTCAGGATTAAGATCTTCGGGGCTGAAGAGAGAGTTCAAAGGTTAAGTGTGCTTGCTGCTCTTGCAGAAGACCCACATTCAGTTTCTGGGAGATCTGATGCCACTTTCTGGATTCTACCCCAAAGTCAGTCATCCTCTCTCTCTCTCTCTCTCTCTCTCTCTCTCTCTCTCTCTCTCTCTCTCTCTCTCCTCTCTCTCCCTCTGTCCTGCTTTAAGAAAATAAATGATAAATCTTAAAAACAAATACACTGTCTTCACTTGTTCCTTGGCTAGGAAGCTACATTTTGCATTGCATTCTGTGGATGTAGGTAGAATGTTTTCCAAATTAAGACAGATTGATTGCCTTAGTCAATTTTGTTTTCAGTGATTACGCCTGCATGATATTTGTTCTCAAAAATTCTTTCCTGCTTTAAACAGCCACCATTTACTGGAAAATCTCAAAAAGGGGAGCTTGGGAAGATTTTTTTTTATAGTATCATCATGTCTAAAGAAGTTAATATGAAATCTGGGAAAATTATGAAAACAATCAGATTTCTGTTCTAATCTCTACTTTAGCTTATAAACTATATCTTTAAAAGAAAAAAAGGATGATTCTTTGCCACACTTGCATGTTAAGCAATGAACAGTATTAACACTGATAAAGAAAATATCTACATAATAAACATCTATAGATGTGTCTGTCACTAAAGAAACAGAGTGTTCAGGCAGGGGAGAGTTAGTGATAGGTAAAGACACAGAAAATAGTGATCCATGACCACTCAGGGGCCTGGCACTAACAAATAGTTCTCTTTTTGCTCATGTGAACATGTGAAGTTTTTAATAAACAGAAATAAGAAATTCTACCAGAAAGACACCTGGAAAGTTCCCAGATAATAACATAACAAATAACTCCTCCAGCGCCTTCTTGGTTATGATGTCTTTTATTCCTTTTCTGGTAAACTATTGCCCAGTTTTGCCCTTTTTTACAGAGGCATGCTTTAATATTGCCCCATGAAAAGAAGCTAGCAACATTGAGTTAGTCATTATGGATATTTAATATACATGGGGAAAACTTGTTTTATTCTTGAAATAATTAGGACAGAAAATGACTTAAATTAATCAACTCCATTTATGTCCATTGATTCTGGTATCTAATAGGGTCTTGGAGAGAAACCTTTCCATTATGTTAGAAACATGCATCATGTCAAGTTATACTGTGGAATCTTGAGATTGGAGGTGATATTTATGAATCTTATCACTGTTTTAAATTTGTAAATGTATTTGTACATTTCACAGATGCATGAACCAGTTACAATGACCAGTAACACATAGGATTGTTACAAAGCCTACACAGATCACCACATTTTTCCTCACATGTTTACATTATGCCAGAACTATCAGAAATCTCATTCTTTTGCAGAGAGAGCAATATAAGTCTACAAATACAGTGATTTGGATGGAGAGAACAAAACGTGAGTGTCCTCAATAGAAGACAGAGTCTGCAAGTCCCACCCTTGATTTTGTTTCCTGTGGTATTCACCTGTCAATAGGAAAATCTTCATTAATAAATAAGTTTCATTGTTTTTTAAAACCACCTTATGGGTAACATAGGTCAGTAAAGGTGAATTAGATCCAAAAGTGACAAAGTTGAGCCCTTTTCTTACCTTAATGACACAGAACATTTATTAAATTCCTTCCTACTTCCAGCTGTGTGTGATAAAAGTCTAGAGCCTTCCTGACCAGGGTGTAGGTTAAAGAAGAGAAAAGAAAGAAAAAAGCAAAAAACAAAAAGCAAAAAAAAAATCACAATTTCAGTCAAGAAGGGATATTGTTTTAAGCACAGTATTACTTTTTTTTCAGTATTACTTTTAAAACAAGACAATTTAGGAGTCTTTCAGAAGTTAACCTGTTTGTGTAATAAATCAACACTAAATGTAAGTTCACCAAGTGACACAGAACAGGCGACTTGTTTACATTGAAGTAATGCTTTCAAAGAAGACTGTTAACAAAGTAATAAGCACCTCAATTCACTTTCACTGGTTTTATAATGGTATTCATATAGTACAAGTGGAAAATAAATGCCTGTGACTAGAAATACATACATACACACACACACACACACACACACACATATATATATATATGCATATATATATATATATATATATATATATATATATATATATATATATATATATCTGAAGTTCATTTAGTACGATATTGGGCAAATGGCACAATTTTCCTGATGATAAAAGCTTCACAGAATACACCCACTTCAGAACAGTGACAACTTAAGGATGGTTCAATGATTAATTTACACTACTGCATTACAGACATGTTTCAGTAATGACAGGAAAATAAATGAAATGAACAGAAAGGAAACAGTCACTCATCCACCTGGAACTTGGAGGGCTTAGATTCATGTACACATACCTGAGCTCATATATGGCCGTCCATGTGCATATTTTAAAAGGTTCATCACAGACAACAAAGCCAGGATTCCAAAGCAGAGAGAAGTTGAGAAGACCTTCATGGTAAAAAAAATCTCCTGTGCTAAGAAAGAAACCGAATTCTCAAGTCAAAACAGATATCCCAATGGCTGTAGCGTGCCGCAGAGCCTGTCTTTAAAAGGCGAATATGTTCCAACTGTGAGTCTCCTACATAAGGAAGAAATTTATAAAATGTAATGCATCCTGTCACTGTGATTCACTGCCTGGAGAAGTGACACTGGCCACACAGTCAATGGCAGGAAGGGAAGAACCAGATCGATATATCTTGTACCTGCCCATTTCACTAAATGCATGCATTCTTAAACATGTGCATGCAATCACACACATGCACAAGCCCAAAGCAGTTATTCGGGAAACAGAGCGTGCATGTTGGGTTTTCATTAAATCTTGTTTATCTTCCTTATTATAGCATCAATCATCCTGAGATCCTAATGTTGAGAACATAAAAGGCTGGTAAAAGTCGGACCAAGTTGACTGATTTAGAGGCAGTTGACTATATCCTTAACAATAGCACAGACATCATTGCATTCTTAACCAGTCAAAAGGATGAAAGTCGGAAAGAGCTCAGGTTTGAAATGCATTGCTGCACTACAGAAGGATGGGTTCATTCTGCTAGGAACAGCACTTTCCTAAATAGAGGCTCAGTTTAATTAATTCAAAATTGGCAAATGTCCCATTGATTACTCTCTTTAATAGTTGCCTTAATTGAGATGGTTTTGAGTCAGAGTATTTCAATATATCCAGAATTTTGATCTAATGGCTCAATGGATGCTGTGATGAGCTCCAGTCCTGGTGTTTGCTTCTCTGAATAGACTGAGTAGCATGAGCTCCTCAGCAGACAAAGTTCCAAGTGTACTCAGTGCACTCAAATGGGGTAAATACCAACGTCTTTGCTATCCACTTCCTTTGCTATTTTCCTGAATAAAGTCTGAAGCACCCATTTTAATATCCATATGTGTTCTTTCATGGATTCATTTTCCAGCCCTAACCCTTGGACGTGCCCCATACTCTCTTTGCCCTGAAGCTTTGCTGACACATTTCAGTCTGGCTGGTGTCCTTTGTTTTCTGTTTTCCCTGTTCCTTTCAGAAGCCTTTGATCAATGCCATCCACTCCAAGACTTTAGTGTCTTTGCTCATCCATCTTACTTTGAGTTGTGACATTTGTTTCATCCTTTGGACTGTACACATCACATCCCATAGTCCCTTCTCCTATTATTACCATTTTGTGTTTGTATGTCTGCCTCCACTTCTGAACTGGTAAGATTTCCAGAGACATCCTGTCCATTTCTGTCCTTGGGCAAAACTTATTTCAGTGAATTGAAGAGAAAATGAATGAGAACATGATTGATGTATGAATAAATAACTGCATTGCCAGGTAAATGAAAAGAAAAAAATGAGATAATAGCTCCCTACTTTGCAGCTGGTTACAAAAGACAAAACAGAGTTTAAAAAATTCTTCTTTGTTTATTATTAAACCTCAGAGTTTAAGAATGATCAATATCTTTAAAGTTTAGTCCTACTCCCTTATCATATCATTCTGTTTCAAAATTATCATTCAAATAAACCTCACATGTGTCATAATTTGCTTACACATTATTAGTACTCTTTCAAACCTCTGTTTTTAAAATTAAGATTTCTGAGTAATTTTCACTATGAAATCATAAAGTTAAATGCAATGGTTTAAAATGTTTATTCAGCTCATGTCTCCTAAATGAAAAAGAAATCCTGAAATATACATGTATGTAATTTTTTCTGAAAACTGAGTGAAAATCTGATTGGGACTATGTTGCTCTGGCTGTCCTAGTATTACAGGCATGTGCCACATCTGCCAACAGTAGGTGAATTTTTAATTATATTCTTACAGATAATTAAAATTACTTATATTTATATTTAAAAGTATTTAAACCAAAAAAAGAAGTAGAGTAACTGGGTGTGGTGGCACACGCCTTTAATTCCAGTGCTCAGCAAACAGAGGAAAGCAGATCTCTGTGATTGCAAAGTAAACCTGGTATACAAAGTTAATTTCAGGACAGATAAAAATTACACAGAGAAACCCTGTCTCAAAAAATTAAAAAAATAGAAGTAGATGAAATAGAGTAATAAAAAAGCCACGTAAAGATGGAAAGCATAGAGGAACATTGGATACTATATGCTGTTCTGTTATCTTTAAATTGACTGCTGAGGAAATAACAACTGTTAAAAGAAATACTGCTTGATTAATTCAATTTATATATTTTAAAAATCCATTTCAGACCAGTTCGATCCAGTTCAAACCAGTTTAGACCGGCTCAAACCAGTTCAGACCGGTTTAGACAGGTTCAGACCACTTTAGACCTGATTAAACTGGGTCTATCCAGTTTAGACAGGGTCGATCCAGTTCATACCCGGTAGATCCTGTTTAGACCAGTTCAGACCAGTTAGATCGGTTAGATCCCAGTCAGGCAGGTCCTGCCCGGTTCAGTCTGGTTCAGACCGGTACTATCTGGTTCAAACCTGTTCAGACTGGTTTGATCCAGTTCAGACCGGTACAGACCTGTTTGATCCAGTTCAGACTGGTTGGATCTGGTTCATGTTGGTTCAGACTGGTTTAAACCAGTTCAATCCAGTTCAGACCGGTTTGATCAGCTTGATTTAGACCGGTTTAATCCAGTTCTATCTGGTCCAGACTGGTTTTATCCTGTTCAAGCCAGTTTGATCAGGTTCAGACCAGTTTAATCACTATAGATTCTATAGATTTGCTTTCTGTTGAATTGAAGTTTTACTATATCATGATGTCAGATGGATACACTGACATATTTCAAATTTTATGACACAATAGTTCATTTTACAAATTAACAAATTAAGCCAGAGAAATAAATGATATACTGAGGCTCACATACAAATCAGTAAAGCACTGAAATACCAAATGCAGATGCCTGCATTTCCTTAAGCACACCATTTTTCTTTACTAATTAAATATGTTATTCCACATGTCAGCATCCACAGATAATAAGCTCTCTTTTCATGCTAATCTATTAACCTACAATAGTCTTAACTCCTTTTTAGGGGTAAGGTAGAATAGACATAGATAAAAATCAATGCAATTACAGGTAGAGAATATGTGAATATTAGTCTAAAGGTCTTTAGTCTAGAAGTCAGTGTCTTATATAGAGGAGCCTGGGAAGAATAGTTTCACCTACAGCAAGTGAGCACCAGTGTCACAATGAGTCATGCCATGCCTAGTACTGTTGGGAACCATCACCATCCTCACAACCTCAGGTCTCTCAGGCAGAAAAATCACTGCCTCTTAAAAGAAATACACAGAATGTTCAGCAGAACATTCCAAGGTACAGGCTTGTGGTCTCACAGTCAGTTAAGGAATAGCTCAGGGTGCTCTTTCCTGCTGCAGTTTAATAGCCAGCTAAAGAGTAGCTAACCAGCTCAGGGCTCTCTCTCTCCTGCTGCAATTTACAGCCAATTACAGGTTAGGTAAACAATTCAGGGCATTCCTTCTACTGACCTTCTCACTCTGCCTATGTGCCAGTGCCCATGCCCTGGCTACACTCAAACCCTGCTCACATCCTGCCCACAGTCCTATATAAGCCTCCCCTGAGAAAATAAAATTTGTCAGCTTGAAAAAAAAAAATGCTTTGACTTCAAAATTTAAGTCTAAGGACAAGTTACTGGGGAAAAGGATTTCTAATTTTTGTTTCCATAGAAAATGAAAAGCTGAGGATTCCTTTTAGACTAATGTGGTTTGATCAAGCAAGACCCCCCCTCCCCGAAACAGAGTCCCAGGTGATCCAACATTCAAAACAGTTGGGACAAGGCAACCTTACAGATTGCAGCCAGAATTTCTGCATCTCCTTCGGATCCCCCATGACAGCGCCCCCTACCAGCAGGAAACAGTTTGGAAAGAATGATGCTCAAATTCCCAAATACTGTTTATAAATGTTTGTTGTCATTTAAATTGGCTTGGTTATACATGGTTAATGATCACAACCAATTCTTTTAAAGGTAAAAAAGGGGATTATGGTATAGAGATGAATACTTCGTTTTAAAATGGATTTTCATTTATTGATACAATTTAAGGTCAATTTTATGATGTATATATTTCTCCTCTTGTTTAGGTATTGTGTTTATATAGCTCGCTTAAAAATGTAATGTATTATTTAATACAGATTATAGATAGTTACCTATGATAGTCAAAACTTAGAGGTAAGTTAGGTTTTCAAGATGCACAGAGATGTATTTGAGATGGATAGGCATTCTTCAAACCTTTCAAAGACCTACAGAATATGGCATTTAAAATAGTTTAGTGTTTTTCTTAACAGTGAGGTACAACTGCTCCTGGCAACGCCACCTGCATCAGAAAGGAAGATGGACCTTGAAGAAACACGTTATGGAATTTACTTTCAATGTGGCAAGACTAGCCGTTTGGGTAAGATACTGCTCTTGTCTGGACTATTTGATTTTATGTTGTATAAACTGGACATGCAGGACCCACAGGAAAGTGACTGCTGATACAAGTTGAACATTGCTACAGGGTTCCTGCTTCATAGAAGAGTCTGCCAGACAGTCTGCAGGACACAGAGAAAGTGACTGACAAACTGCCAATACAGATGGACAGTTTAAAGTTTCCTGCTTTGCTGAGGAGACTGCCAGACACACTATGGCCTATGGGCTGAAAATGGAACATTACAGAAGAACTTCAGGTGACTGAAGAGTTGTCTCTGTCATTTCTAGAGTTTATATATTATCCTTCTGTGGTCTTTGAAGGAGTTGAAGACAGATAGTTATGATTATAGTTTTCTTTAGTTAGGATTAAAGATAAATTACATATAGGATTTCAGACTCACAAAGATAGGATAGATGATGAAATATTTTCTTTAAATCTTGTTAAATGTTAATGGACTAAATATTATTAACTGTGGTTATTTGATAACTGTTTTGTTATGCATTTTGCTATGGTAAGGTTAAAACCCTTCTTTTTATTTTAGATAGAAAAGATGATGGGAGATGTTGGCCAATAGGAAAGCAAGAT